TCAACGATCTACATCCATTTTTGTCACCCCTAATGACCAGCATACGTTAGTCACTTGAACACGTTTTCATTGTTGGCCCATTACATAAACGTTACGCCACCTTATAGAACAGATACACTGCCTAACAATCCTTGAATATAGAACAAGTTATAGTGCTCTTGCTACCCCTTCCTTTCCACATTCGACTCTGCTATACAGATTGTTTCCTGTTTCGAAATTTAACACAATGCAACGAGAAGAGAGAGAGACAGAGAGAGAGAGAGAGAGAGAGAGCTTATTGAAATTCTGGTTGGTACGTTCTCCACGTTCATTGATAAACTTCACACGGTGCTGCATTTTGCATCGTTAAACAGTGGATACAGTTTAAATAACAAGTTTCGAATTTAAAAAAACAGAAAAATGCTTTTTATAGAATTTAAGTTCCGCGAAAAAAAAAATATATGATCGAAGAGAAACTTTTACTTTTTTTTTTCTTTTTGATTAAAAATAAATAAATTGTTATCAAATATTATTAATTTTATTTTTATTGCGAAATAGTGTCTTACGTTCGTTAAAAACTTGCTAATTTTAATTGTTGATTCTTCGTGTTTCGTATTTCATACTAAAGAACGATTTCCCTCAAAATTAAAAAGTTTTTTTTAATTAAACACGATTGGGCCGAGGAAACTCCGAACGCGTACACGAAGTTAATACAAACTAAATAATCGTCTGAAAAACTGGGGGAAAAAAACATTTAATTATCGGTAAACGTGAAAGAAAAATCACGTAATATAGACAATCTCAAATATGAAAAACTTCCGCCTCGTATAATTTTTACCAAACAAAATTTCAAGTAGAATAAAGCATTATATACAAATTTTCTATTATCAAAATAACGACAGCAGCAAATGAAAAGCAAAGATAAAGAAGAATGTTTCTTAAACTCTCAATCTAGAAATAAGCACATCCTTGCTCCATTAAAAATTGAGCAAGGTGATACATTAAAGATAATCTACATTACATTATCTATAAACATATATACACAAATTTAACGAAATGATTCACAATTCATCTAAATAATTTACCTCAAAAAACTGAAAAAATAATAAATATCCCATTAATAATCAACACGTGTTTTCAAAAACTATAGACGACAAACAATCCCTCATGGGGTATACACCGTGTATACTCACGGTACACCACACGATATACTGTCACCGCTAATGTTTGGTCGAGATTTGCATATGTCTGTCTGGCCTATCCATTCCTCCATGCGCCTCCGCGTGTCTCACCTTGTTGTCCCTCGACGTGTATACGACCGGTTAGGTCCAATCCCCCTCCCCCTCTTCCCTGGTTCCCTCTATATCGGGACCGTTATTATACACGCAGCCGGCGAACAAGTGACGCACGCGTGTGTACCAGAATGATCGCCCATTACCTCGAAATAGGGTATTGTGCCAAGAACCTGTTCCCTCCGCCATCAAATTTCTTCGGATCCAACTTTCAAAATCTTGATATTCTCTAAAAAAAAAAAAGTATCGATGTAGTTATCTATCCAAAAATTTATTTTAATTTATATAAAAGATGAGAAACAAGTAAAATCTATTCTATTCTGTTCATCTTATCATTGCCTTTCGTTAAAGTTAATAATATTTCTTGAACTAATGATACGAAAAGAAAAAAGTAAGTAATGTAGTTATGTCCAAAAATCCATTACTTTATATAAAAGACGAGAAACAAATAAAATCTATTTTAATTCTGTTCATCTTATCCTTGTTAAAATATTTCCTAATGATTCTTGGACATAAGTAGCTGCAAAAGAAAATATATAATTCCATTAAAGAAAAGAAAAACCATTTACTGACTTGCAAATTTTCCGTCGTAAAAATTATAAACGACGAATGACAGGCAATCTTGACGATTCTCGTATCGCATTTTGCCGAGAGAGCACCGAAATGAAAGGGTTAAGTACCTCTCCTTGTCACTAATAGGGTTTATCGATATTGTTCCGACGATTTGGAGAGGGATGCAAGTTTCGCGGCTACTGGTGGTTTCCGGCTTCCGTGGAATTAAGGCGCGGCGATCGTGCTCATCAGAATCGGAGCAGGAAGAAGCTTCTTTTGACGAAGGGGGCGGGGGTGGGTGAAGATGGTTCGAGGATAGCCTGGAGGGGTTGGAGCTCGTTTGTGCGGAGGTTCGAGAGCGATGGGTGGTTAGTTGCGATTGTCGGGCAGAGTTTCGTGAGGATATTTTAGGTTTTGAATGTTTGGAATCGTTGCACCGAGGGTTTCGACTAGTTAGCCCATTGTCTGCGATGCGTTCGTCGGATGAGCAATGGGGGATATGTGTAAGGGGGTAGGAAGAATCGACGCTGATGAAGAATTTGAACATGTGGCTCCATACTTGGGAGCAATAGTACAATAGAATGGATATACGATACGTTTCAGAAAGGAGAAGGAAGTTAGGGAGAGGAGAGAGAGGATTGTATTACGACGAGCTAAGACTTTATTATGATGATACACTCTGTTTCCATTCTTATTTATTTACTATCGGCGGCACGTTAAATTCCGAAACGTAAATCGTGAAACACGAAAATAGATAACACCGACTGATCGTCGGAAGAAGCCGTAATATTCTAATCCGATAATCCGATATGATAAACAGACTTGTTTATATACTATTATATTCCAAGAAATAGACCTCGTCTCTTATTTCCAAAACAAACTTTGTCGATGTTATGTCGTCGTATTTAGTTACGATATACAAATCTTCTATTTATTTTTCCTCGTATGTACCATAATAGGAATAATAACGAGATATATATATATATATATATATATATATATATATATATATTCTCTTAATTTAAATGAAAATATTTCCTAATCAAATCATTTACCATCCAACATCGTTTCTCGTTAAAAAAAAAAAAAAAAAACAAAGAATCGCGTAATCACACGCGTAACCAAGATGAAAAATACGCGAGAGAAAAAGAAAAATATGCCCACCTTTCGTTCCAACGTAAAAATCTCTCTAACCCTATGGCTAGAAACTAATCAAACCAATACCAAAATTCCTATCCTAAACAGAAGAGTCACGGCTCACGTACACGACAAGAACGTGATCAACCGTGGACAGGATTTTTTCCACGCAGCCGAGCCCGCCGGAACCAGTCGAAACCAAAATCGGTAACGAGAAACGCAGAGATCCGTGAACGGATTCTGTTGACGCGAGTGTGGTGGGTTGCGAGCCACGTGATGCCCGTCAATGAGAGCCTTCCTGCTGGAAATTCGGTTCCTCTTCGGCGCGCCAGGTTGATGTATGCAAATGGAACCAACGTTGTAACTACAAAATTTCTAGTCGCCACTGGTCGCGTGGTTTCACCAGACCACGAGAATTATATCAACGAAAAAGCCAACTATCTCTCTCTCTCTCTCTCTCTCTCTCTCTCTCTCTCTCTCTCTCTCTCTCTCTCTCGTTCTGTGCTACTTGTCTATCTCTCTCTTCGTCACTTCCTCTTGGAGAGCGCAGCGAATGTGTGCTAGTTTCGTTACTTGATTTGATCCGGCAGACTGGGCCGTGACAAACGCAGTATGTCCAGAACGGATAAGGGAATTGTGTTTACTCGTAGTTTGCATACTAGTTACCGCGTTTGCCACCCACTTTACGCAGTAAAGGCCCGTAAACATCTTCGGCAACGAGGGACCACTCGAAAGTACGAGAAAGTACCCTTTGTCTCCTTTGCCGCTTCCACTTTCTTGAACCCCCTCCTTCCCGCTCTTTCCTCGTCCTTCAACTATTGTTTCAACTCTCCCTCTCCTCGTGATCGCCATGCGCATTGAACGCAGAGGAAGGGTGGATGGATTTAGATCGTGACCGCGGGGAATTATGTTTGGACGACGAATATCGATTTTTTTTTTTTTTTTATTCGAGTTCGGTCGGATGCTGGGGGTTGATGAGATTCGAATTTTTTCTTTCTTCTTTTTTTTTTAAATTAAACAGTGCGTGCCAATTGATTGCACAATTCGCGCATCAACTTATTCTTTAAATTGTTAAATAGCGAGGAGAGGAGATTACATTTCTCTGGATCCCTCGATAGAAGAAATTTTTCTGTTTGATAATTCTTGTATTAATTATAAGTAATTGTATAATATATTCATGTAAATGTTATGATGTTCCATTATTTGAATTTAAAACAAATGATTTTCTTTGTATAATTGCTTCCCCGTATATAAAGTAACACTGAGAGGAGAATTATCTTATCGTAATTTAATAAAATTAATAAAATTAAGATAATGTAGATACATTAATTATCTTATTATTCTTCGGAAAAGTAGATGAATTCCTCTTCTTCACAAGTAGAGCAATTGTATTCAGTCTATACGAATGAAATAAACCATTACACCAAATATCGACGGGCAAAGAACAAACTTCATCTTAATTACACTCTTTATAATACTTTACAACGGTCAAGTTGTAAATCAGCCAAAACATGAACGAGTATCGAATAAAAAGAGTATCGAAAAAGGAATTTTCAACCTATATTCAAATCAACGAAATATTTTTCCCATTCTATCAGATCTTTCGGTTCACCAAGCGCATCCGAGCGTAATTCGATTTCAACGATGGATAACAATTTAACGTTTCACGTTTCATCACGTTCTCGATTCGCAACGATCTCGAGCGTGCAACCAAAAAAAAAAAAATATTTCCCCCCTTCATCTTTATCATTCCCGTTTCGTCAAATACGGGTTTCTCCTGGGGAAGAAAAAAAAAAGAAAGAAAGAAATTGCGAAACTCTCAAAAACGAGGGTAAAAAAAGAAACAAAAGAAAAAGAAAAACAGATGAAAACGGCTCGTTGAAACATTTTAAGACATTTGCATTTAATTTGACGGACCCATCATATTTTCATTTAAAACAGACACCGACCTCGCGCTTCAGCCGTATAATTTCGTCCGTTTTTTTCACTGTGTGTCATCAAAGCCCCCATTTAGAGACGGCCGGATATTTTTGCTTTCAGGTAATAAATTCCAACGGAACCTGAACGAGATCGGCAAGTCCGAGCAAAAATCGAGCGACCCAGATAGGAAAAGAAAGTACGATTGGACCCCGGACAGCGGTAAGCTCTGTTGCTAAACCGTGAGCTAATTTAAAACGAGAGAATGGGCTGACAGACGTGGCTTTCACTTACCTCTCCCTCCCCTTGTTTCCTGTGCGCCTCCTCTCGAAGAATCGTCCATGGTAGATGGCTGACATCGCGGCTTTCTGCGTTTGCGGAATGATAAGTAGCACATCGTGATGCATGGCTCCTTATTATTCGATGTAAATGAGGAAATGAACGAGGGGGAGGGATGTGTGGCTGTGGGTGGAAAGGTAGAGTAGATGGGTGTAAACGATATCATTAAGAAGAGACGTTTATTGATGTGGCTGGAATGTGATTTGCTAAATGTTCTAAATTTATATATATATAAATTTAGATGATATATCTTAGGTACTTGAGTTAATGAAAAGTTGACAGAAAATTGAAGTGGAAGTTGAAAATCTTATTTGAGAAATGAATTATTTTCTAATTATTTTTTTTAGTTTGTTATTTTATAAATAGATAATAGAAAATGAAGGCAACAAATGATAAAGTTATTCGCATATAAGAAAAACAGATTTCATCTTGGATCAACACGAAACAAAGAATATACTTCGTTGTTGGACGAAAGAAAAATAGCTTTTGGGGATAAAAATTTCATTCCATCTTAGAGAAGTTTCTTTATATTTTTGTAGTGAGATCGAATATGAAATATCTAAGTAACAAATGAGATAATAAATATTTAAAATTTATAAATCTATCCATTTTTTCGAATTTATTAATTATCGACAGATTCTACAATATCACGATAAATTTCTATATTACAAATGTGTGCTCTCATTGATCGAGATTTTCGATTAATTTTATTGTGAAACTGTTCATACATTGTACTTGAATTTCATGATAAAACGTTACGAAAATTTTGTTAGAGATTGAGTCCTAGATTATATTCCAAAGTTGGATTAAGTTCTCTTGAAGCAGAACGTGAATGAAATTTTTTTGTGTTATACAAGTTTGCATAGTTTTATTTTTTTTATGAGAAAGTCACTTTTTAAACTTGGATTTTGATCAAAGTTGAGACTAACGTGTTTTTATAAATTGTATGGAATACATTTTTCAGAAACAGTGTATAACAGAAGAGTAAAGCTCATTTCATTTAGCATAAATTAAATACGTCATTATTTATCGTAGATTAATTCTAAATTTTCATAAATTACAAATTAGACGTTCATTTATTAAAAATTAAAACACGTTTTCTAAAATCTACTTGCTCAAAATATTAAAATTCAAGCTTGATACCTCTCAATACCACGGGGTAAAAATATTCCAACGAAACTTCCATACCCACAATAATTACACAGTGAAAAAAGAAAAAAGCAAGACCCCAATCTTCCTCCAATTTCTCACCCTAACAAAGAATCGTTCCATTAAAGGTATTCAATGCCCAATCAACGTTTACCCAGGCAGACGTCTCCAACGTCTACCAAAGAAATTGTCGACTTTCCCGATACAACCAAGAATACCCAACAATAGAAACCTCGATAACAGTAACGAACAGTGTCTCGCAGATCTGAAATTCCTTCTTGGCTGCTCATTAACGGACAGTATCGTCGTCTCGCGTTTCCCAGTCAGAAAAATTAATAATAAACCTCGAACACCGATATCGGCCCTCGCTCCTCTCCCCCTTCCATCCCAGATGGAAAAAAAAGAAAATCGAAAGTCTGATAGAACCAGAGAGCCCATTGAAATCTACGTTGAATAGGGACGAGAATGGGAAATGAGAGCAAGACGAGGGAAACAAAAAACCATCCGCGGCTCGAGGTTGCGGTTCTATCCGGCTATTTCGCGGCTCCGCGCCGGCATTTAAATGACACAGGTCTCGGCCACGAGAGAGGTGCCACACGGGTCCAGGTTTAACCCCGGGGAGAGGAATTCATCCTGGGCCTGCGGCGTTATTGAAATATCTCCTTCCCACCCCGACGATCTCCTCGATCCAGCCACGATCTGTTTCAGAGAGAAGCCTGGGCCTTCACCCCCCTTCTTCCTCCGCCATCGATACACCCGGCGGTGGTTTCCTTTTTAAAAGGAATTTGCATAATAGGAAAGTGTGAAAATCCGTTTTTCTCCGCGGGCTTCGATCTCGATAGCCCTCGTGGAAGTAGGTAATTTCGCTCGGAAGAAGGACGAAAGAAAAAAAGAAAGAGAGGGGGAGAGAGAAGGAATGGAGGAGGAAAGGGGGTTGGTGGGAAAAAGAAACGGGAAGAAGAGGGGAACGCGGGTGTGGAACCGCGAGCCTTCCACAACTTGATAAGTACTTCCAGTTCTTTGGTAGAACCTCGTTGTATCGAAGGTCGAACGCGACACCACCACCCACCTTCCGGTTAAATTCGTTTTCGAAGTGCGAAAAGAGGGAGGGAGAGGGGTCGATATCGAGCAGTTTCGAACTGTCTCGCGCAGCGTTTCGGCATTATCGTTCCATCGAGTTTCTAAAGATGAAGGCTTGCTTCGTTTCGTGGTTGATTGGATGAAGGGAGGAGGAGGTTTATTTATTAGACTTGGTTTATGCATTCGATTCGGGTGAGCCGAGATTTTAACCGACTTTCTATCGCGATTTATCTAGTTTTATTTTTATTGCTGATTTTTTTTAAAGGATAAGAGGGATGAAATTAATGGTTGCGTGGTACTGGAGAGAGATACTGGAAGTGATTTTATACGAAATATTTTGAAATATTTTGAAAAGAATTGTATTGTAATCGGGAATATAACTATGAATGAGTAGCAAGTGTATAAAGAAGATTTGTTTCCCTAATAGAATGTGAAAATCTTTTCTGAACATATGTAACCGAGTTACAAGATTGTTACGGCTATTGACAATATAATTTGCATGATATATCATTTTTTTTATACACGCAAAAGATACAATTTATTGGAAAAAGCATAACTTCTTCTTTTTATAAACAGCATAATAACAAACTATGGATATTACACGCTGATAAAAACAAAAGGGAAGTAGTTGTATATACATAGGTGTATAAATTTAGTTAAGGAACTAAGCAAGACTTTTCAATAAAATTTTATTCTTGTAGAGTATACGGAAGGAAATTGTTACGGACAGGATATTGTATGCATGGATATTTTATGATCATGGGCATTTTACGAGGATAATGTTGTAGATAAAACTTCGAAAAAAGGAATCTATAGAAAGGAAAAGATATCTTGAATGAAAGGCTCGAAAGAAATGTTGAAAAATTAAAATAAATTTTTTAATTCTAAATAAAAAATATTTTTAAAATCCTTTTGAAAAAGGAATTTACCAATTCACAATTTTAGTTAGTTAAATTAAAAGTATTCTTTTACAATTAATCCATTAAAATATAAATCATATTAATATGTGTAATATATTCCTGGAATTTTTCAATAATCGATTCTCAAACACAAAAATAATTGAAGCTTCTTTATTAAGTTACAAGCAATTTCAATTTGCGTTGGATAAAACGAAAATAGAACGAAGTGGAAGTGTGACAAAGGTGTTGCCGTATTTAAATTGCTTACAACTTAAAAATAAATAAGTCTCATCGATATTTCTGCGTATAAACTTTTTTTAATTTCTAGAATTGATTCTCCAAGAATCAATGAATATTTTAATAATATGAATATATATCTAGAATTTATTTTATATAATTAAATGTGTTATTATCCAAATGTTAATATCGCATTTTATGGGAATATTAATATTACAAAAGATTCTGAGTGAATATTTCGAATTAATTCGTATAAACGAAGCTTTAGAGTTATTTAACATAAATATTCTCCATTTAAATTCCAATGTAAAAATCAACAAAATTTAAACGATCGAGATGTCTACTCATGAATTATCTATCTGGTGGTTGGAAATTCGTGTTTCAAGTGAAATGGTTAGCGGCACGAAAAAACAGTGGCGAACAGGCAAAACGAAAATTTAAAATGGACATGTTGGATTGGAACGAAATGTACAAAATCAACATCGTCTCGTTTATTGACAGTAGTTGTCGAGCTCATTGTTGCCTCAGCCCTTTTCCTGCTTGGCTGGTGTTAAAAACATTGTTTTTACTATTTTAATCCAAATCATCATGCTACATCTCGGTAAATTCGATCGGAACGATTCGGATAAATACGGTTTGTAATTTTGAAATTTTTTTGAACGAAACGTGGTTAATGGTTCTCGATATAACAGTTTTCCAATTTCTGGTCCTTTTAATTAAAAATATATATGAAATAGCGAACGACAGAAAATATTAAAATTGGTTGTAATCAATGATTTAAAAAAAAAAAATTTGTATATTATTAAAAATTATTAAAAATTCCCATTAGAAATATTCCAAAATGATTTGTTGTGTACATTTAATTAAATTTTTCAATTTTACGTTGTAAGGATCATAATTATAAAATATTTTCTTAAAATTATTGTATTTAAATCACAAATATTTTCAAAATTTTTTCATTTTTTTTTTTCATCGAATGTCATAATATTTAATAGCTTTTGTATCTTTTACAAAAGCGAAACTGGCTTTCGAGATAACAGATGAAATATCAAAATATACGGTTTGATATACATAAATAAAAAGTCAAAAAAAAAAACATATATATATATATATATATATGTATATATATGTATATAAAAAAAAACAGAATAAAAATTATTTCAACATCTCCATCAAAAAAGTAAATACAATAAAAAAAAAGAGCCACTCGAACGATAAATGAAAACGCTACCTGAATAACGTATAAAACAAAATAAAGCACTTGCAAAATTTTTTTTATATATTCCGTTTTTTTTTTTAATTCCATCGCTTGTCTCATCGCATAAAATAAAAACTCTCATTTCCAATATTTATCTAATATTATTTTCATTATTTTTTCCCCAGAATTTTATAAGAATAAGTATAATAAAATTGAATTTCAACTTCCCTTATAAATCGATTTTTCAATCCCTTTGAAAAATCAATCACATGGTAAAAATACTGAGTAAAAATTCGCTCTTAATTTCTTAATCTCTGAAACAACATACAAATTAAATCCCAATCCAATGTTACATTATCCACAAATCGAAATCTATTTCCAAAAATTGCATTTCCATCGGCGAGTATCGCGCAAATTACCCTTAAAAAAGGGTATCCACCGCAGTGGAACCGCAAAACCGGTTGCGTTGAGAAAGAAAAACGTTGAGAAAGAGAGGAGGGTGTGGAAAACGCGAACGCGAAACGAAAGAAAACAGATAGAAAGAAGGGAGAGACGTCAACGTGTATCCTCGTTTAGCCGAGAAACTAACGGAAAATAAGGAAGGAGAGGGATGGCCCCCCTGCAGGGGGATGATTGGGGTGCGACTTGTTTCTGATTTGTAATTAGAGATGAGTGGGGCCAGAGAGAGAATACATCTCTCGCGGAGCGAGTAATGGCTGAAAGTATGGGCCAGGCCAGCCGGAAGAATAACCGAGTTCTCCTTTTTCCGCCCTCGCCTCCCCTCCTCCCCTGTTCCCGACCTCTCGTCTGGTTTTTCCTCCCCGTTTCCCAGTACTCATCCTTCACCGTCTCGGACGTCTCGTCTCGCCCGAGGAGGCGATCCTTCGCAGCTCGGCGGAACAACGGCCGGATATTTTCAACCGGGAACTTCTTGATTGTCGAGCAACCCTTTCGGGCCAACTCGCGCGATTTTTACGCTACCGACTGCCCATCCGCGCTCTGCGCAATTTCTTGCGCTTCGTTTTATAAATATGAACGAGAAGAGAGCGACCAGGATTGATTTTTCTTCTCTCTTTTTTATTTTTTATATTTTTTTTTGATTTTACATGGGTGGCTCGATTTTAATGGTTGTCGAATTAGAGGGATACTTGATTGCTTCTGAAATTTTTGCTAATTATGCTGTGATAGATCTTGGTGTATTTGATATTTATTTTTACAATCGAGTACAAACATTTTAATCATTTTCTTGCAAAAATGGTGGAATATCGATTGACTGATTATTGTTGCTTGCTATCGATTTGATGGAGAGAAGATGAAAGTTTTAAGCGGGGATGAAAGTATGAATAAGTAGATTTAAATGATTATTAATTAGGTTCTAAAATTTCTCTTCGGTTATTCATTGATGAGTTGGAATCTTTGATTCTTTTCTAACTTTTCAAGTAATAATCATTCTGGAAATAGATCGAAGTTATTTTGAAAAAAATAGAATAGTAAAAGTTTTAAAGAGATAGAATTTTTTAACGCTAAGATGCTTTATATATAGAAAAATATAATGTTTTATTAAAACGTGAATTGAATCCATGAAATTTCATAATAAAATTTTAGAAAATCTAAAATACGATTTTCTACTTTCAGATTCGGCAGTTAACATGACGACAACGGGATTGCTTCTGATGATCACCCTGATCGCAATGTCGATCATTCGATAAGAATCAGGGATGTCTCTAATCTGTAATTATCGGCTGGATTCAAACTGTGAAACGCGAAAGAAAGAAGAAAAGAGAAGAGGAGAAACTGATAGGACTGCGAGAAACATACAGACGTACATACACAAGAGCACACATATAATATATATATATAAAAAGAAGGAAGAATGACTGAGTAGCTAGTGTCGTATTAGAACAAGAGGAAGAGAAAGAGGAAAGGAAAAAAAAAAATAAATTAATAGTAAGAATAATAATTACGCGTGCCAAGTCAGTGTAGAGCGCAGTGATGACGAAGGAACGAGATGTGAGACATCGTGCAAAAGGGAAACGAATTTTCGAATCGATATAACGTATTATGCACGAGACGTGGGAGGTAAGGAAGGGACGGCAAATCACAAAGTGCAACGACTATCGCTTTCAGTGTAACATATTGTATAACGCCGTTAATGTCGCCGCAGAGAACGCGCCAACGATCTCGAGTTTCGATTAACGAGCCTTGAGCCTGTTCGAGTCCAAAACTGGTCCATATTTGTTAACAAGTTTGTCTTTTCTTTTTAATCTTTTTAACCGTATTTACGATTAATCATTAATCTGGAAGATAAATTTTTTTTGAAAAGTATATATATTTATATGTAACATTTCTTCTTTCAAATTGATAGGTTAAAAATTTATTCAAGCATTTTACTCAATGTATGAATAAATGACTAAAGAAGAAGTAAAAATCAATGATGCAAGCGTGAATTGTCCGCGCTATCGATTTCGTTCTCTCACTTTTTTTTTTTTTTTTCCTCCTTGGATGATTTTCCTTTCTCCTTTTTATTCCATTCTGCGAAGTGTTCCTTCTCCGTCGTTTCCTTTTCTCAGTTTTTCTCTCTCTTTCGTTCCTCCGTCGTTTCGTTTCTTATACCAAATCGCGGATCCCATCTGGATACTTGAGATTAAAACGTCAGATTCGGTATAGAAGATGTTCCTCGATGAAGAAGTAGTAGAAGAAGAAAAAAAATATAGGGGGGAGAGGAGGTGGAGAGTACACGAACGTTAAAGGATATTAAAGACGGAATATTATTAATCGCAAATATGTTTAAAATCTTCGAGATTATATAAAAATTCATCAGATAAAAATTCATAGTTTCAATAATTTCTTTATCCAATTCAAATTATTATACGTACATATAGTTTGTAAAAATAGAAAAATATAAAATATGAAAATGTGAATATTATTTGATAATTCTATTTGATCGCTTTACTTTGTATAATTTCATTTTATTTAAAACTTTATGCTCTTTTGAAAATAAATAAAAAAAAAAAAATCTGTTTTAAATTGATTCAAAGAAAATTGAAAAGGATATCGATCACGTTAAAAAATAATATATTTTCATTTATAATCTTTCTAAATAATTTCTTTAAGAAAGAAATATATATTTTTATATAATTATTAAAAGTATCGTAACTATATCTCTCCTCCTATTATTAAAATCTAATTCTATGAATTATTTTCTTATCGAAAGATTTTGCACTCGCAAACAGGCTCAACTTTAGAATAACTTAAAAATCAGGGATCCACGATTACGAAGAAAATTAATTAAACGAGGAAAAAAAGAAAGAAAAGGAATAAAGCGACGCACCGAGGCACTTTTTGTCAAGATTAAAAGTAATAATAATAATAAAAATAATAATAATAATAATAATAATAATAATAATAATAATAAAAATAATAATAATAATTCCACGTCGATTAGACAGCTGCTCAAATTATACTGTATAATATCGAAATGGAAATGGAATATCGAAACGCTTAAAAAAAAAAAGAGAGAAAAAGAAAAAAAAAGAAGAAGAAAAGAAAAAATGAAAAACAGAGAATATATATAAATAACGTGTAGGTATCAATTTTTAAGTGACGAAACGAAGTGGAAATATTTAGAAATAAAAGAATTTTATTCTTATTGTCGGAGCTTCATTAGTTTTGCACTAGGTAGAGGATGAAATCATTTATATCGGATTATAAAAACATCGAAACCCTTTCACGAATAATTTTGCAGGTTTATCAATGACGCGAAATACTACTCACGGAAATTTTCGGTTTGTAAAAAACCGTTTTCTAAACAGTTTATTAATAATCACGAACGTCAATTTTGATGATGATGACATATTCGCAAAAAAAGAAAAAAAAATAAATAAAAAAAAAAGAAAAGATAAAATAAAATGAAAGAAGTGGGTAGAGAAAATGGGGAGGAAGGGGGGGAATAAAAACATTTTGCCACTTTGTAAAGCAATTTGTACAGTGAAAATTAATAACGCGAAATAAAAAAAAAAGAATTTCGATCGATTTTAATCCATCAAGGGTGCTAGTACCACGAATACCTGTGAACGTAAATTAATTGTAATCCTGTGCGCATTAAAACGTTGATGAGAAATATTTTTTTCTTTTTTTTCCTTTTTTGTGTGAAAGAAATAACTGAATAATAGCTAGGAATAGGAATGAAAATTCCATTCCAATTATACGAAGAGATATTTTACAATTCAAATAGGATGAGTTTTTAATTTTTTCTAGTCATCTAAAATATACAGGATACAAAGGAGGATTGGAAAAGTTTCGCCATTTATAAATTACCGATGACACAGTTTTTTTAAAAAAAAACTCAAAGGGATGACGTAAATAATATTATTTCCAAAAAGTTTCTTTAATTAATTAGACCTATATAAAAAAGAATTATAGAAAATTTATCGAAGACAAATAAAAAAGTATTATTCAAATTCTATCATAATATTATTTTAATCATTGCAAAAGATTTTGATTCAAATACACACATATTTAAATATTTAATAATTATCAATTAATCGATAAATTATCACGGAAAGAAATAAAAAAAAATTGATATCGTCATACACTAATTGACTTTCAAAAAAATACTTACAGAGTGATTCTATATCATAGAATGAAAAATGCAAATTTAAAAAAAATCTACGTCATGAGAATTGACAAATCGGAATTACACCGAGGCCAAATCCTTTGTTCGGCCGACGCGCACAATTAATTTATTCACGTGTTAATTAACGAGGTTCGGAATTTCTCTGTGAACGCGCAAACACGGATGGCAGGGGGTGCACCAGTTTAAAGCGGACTTCGAACTACTTAGGAATATCCATTATTCAGCGTACATCTTGTTTAAAGCAACAGGTTCGTGAGTCCCGGTGCTCGAACGGGTTAAAGCCCATGATGGATTAAAGAAGGTTAGCTCAAGGATTACGCGGACTTACTATCGACAGATCTTTAATTTTGTCATCAACCCGATTTCGTACTCGCACTCTTTCTCGCGCAACAATGAAACATTGAATTTTGTAAAGCGTTTCAAGCTTCTATCTATTTCTAAGACATTTATCATTTCTGGAAATTGCAATAATAGATCTAATAGATATCTTCTTTGTATATAAATACTTTTCAAATTAGTGGTATGGGTGAAATTATTTCTAGCTTTATATAATAAAAGATGAGAAAAGATATTTTTGAAGAGAAAATTCAAAGTTTCTTCTTTCTTACTTTTTTTTTTTTTGTAATGTAAACGAATGTAGATAGTGTCCCAGGTTCAACTGCTTCTTTTAAACGTTTCTATTTAGACAAGGAAGCTTTGCTCTTCTTCTTGTGGAAGTATATTCAGGGAAGAGAGAAGAGTTACGACAACAATCTCGAATCTGATTTCGATCGATGTATACAATACAAGCCTCCGTGTGTCGAATTGAATGAAAATTGATGAAAACGAACGAACGCAATTACAGTTTACTGCCAAATCCTGCCCAAAGTATCGCGCGAAATAAGCATTGTAGAATTCATCGTAGAATGTACGCAATAAGCGCTGAATTGTGCTAGTATTGCATAATTCTCCGTGTATTATTACATTACATAGTATATTCTAACCATTGTTTCGTGAATGTAACGACATAACAAACACCTTGATTTGATTGTAACACGATATAAAATTAACGAAACGAAACGATGCTTGCGATATATCTATAATTTAAAATTAGGAAAAAAAAGCCCTAGATTTCTATTTTCCTATAAATCTAATAAATTTTTTTATGAGGTCGGATACGGACCATTCCATTAAAATTTCAACGTTATTCTCTCGAATAAAATTCGAGGATTTCATCAATTATACCCCATTCATTCCCTCCGAGCTTCTCAAATAATACCAGATATGATAATTAAAATTGGACGAGCAGAAGAAGAAATTGAACCCGCGCGGATGAATTAAATTATTTCGAACGATTTGAAAGCGACAAGAGGCTAATTAAACCTTATATTTGATTTTTTTTCAATTTTTGATGTTTAGCCTGATTATAAGTGGAGAAGTTGGACGCTTAAATTGCGATAATTAACACAATTCAGCAACAGTGCGGCAAGAAGCAAAGGGATCGAGGATGACTTTTCGTGCCCTTTAATCTCCTCATCTCTACTGCAGCTAATTTCTACAGAGAACGATGGCGCTATACACTATATATAAATATATATATACACGAATAATCGGCCTGAATAAATAATAAACGACTCGTCAGTTGGCGAATCCTGTAAATACGAGTAAATAGATTGAATAAGTATATTAGACATTGGAAAATAAAAAAAAAAAGAAGAAAAAAATGAAAGAAAGAGAAAAGGCAGAGGGTCCTCGCGACCAATTCGCGGCCATTTAATTGGTAAATTCGTTTCAACGATGAGGAAATAATTCGTCGAGAATTTTCTTGCGTCGCGAGGACATTTTGTCTTTTGCATTTGCATTTGAATTTAGGATAAAAATACGCAGAGGCGTCCCGATTTAGGGATCGAGTTATAGTCGCCCTGAAAAACGAGTGAGGAACGATTCGAACGATTGGATTCGACGTTTCTTTTGTTCGAAATAGTTTGTCGAAGGAATCATTTGTTCGTCTTTTAATTGAAAAGTTGAAAAGTTAATTTTTCATAGTAGTCGAATGGTAAATGACTTATTGCGGTTTTTCATGGTACGATGTTTAAAGTCGCATAGCTATTCCGGCTAATAAATATATGTAACAATAAAAGTGTATTTAAAATTGATAGTATACTGAACTTTAAATATTGTATTATTAAAAACCAGAGTTTAAGTGGTGATATCTTGGTATTTATTGTCAGTTGGATAAATATATTGTGTATATATCGATCGATATTTAAAGTTTAATTGTAATTGAAGATTTGAAATTGTTGGAAATTCGAGAATGCACAAGTAATATCTACAATTGATTGTCTGTAAGAGACAATCAATTTTTGAAAAATAGTTGAAAAATTTAAAAGACGGTCGGCCGAATTACCAATCTTACCTCAACTTTATCCACATTTTCAGTCCTCTTTCAAAAACATTGTGGAAGAAGGACTTACATATTGCAGTAGACTAGAGAAGAAAACCGAAGCATTTTCTTAAACTCGCATAAACTTCAAACTCTGTAAAGTTTCTCCCAACTTTGGAAACTGACGGACTTCGAATTCAGAAATTCTTGAAGTTAATGAACTTGATGCAGTTTTAAAATTTCGAGAGTTTGTTGGAACAATTCGAACAGGCGCGTTATAATACATTCCTTCCTTCCTCTTTAATGCATACGTTGAATGAAAGTGAAGATAAAGAAAAGATCGTGAAAAAGATAAGATAAGAAATCGATATTAAAGAAATATTCCTCAGAAACAGAATTTATTTTCGTAGATATAATTTAAAAAAAAAAAAAAAAAAGAAAGAAAGAAAGAAAGAAAGATACTTTTTATATATCTTTCTTAATATAAGAAATATGCGCGTTCTCTCGAATTTCCACAATTTCAAGAAAATATTTCGGAAAAGAGAAACAAACCGATTCCAAACACTCGAATCGCATCCCTTCCAAGATATTTTCGTTTCGATTGATTTTCCGCCGGATTTTCTACGGCCATTGTAAACAAGCGTGGGTGGCACAGAGTAACGTAAATAATATACCGTATATAGGAGGAGATATTTTGACCTTAGCGTGTAACGTGTAACGAAATCGACGCGAGGAACAGCCATCTTAGCCGTTAAGTGATCTTTAAGTGATCGGTCGCATCGTTTTCGCTCGAGGTTCGATGGCAATGTTGAAACCAATGATAATTAAAATAAGATTA